TAAGTTAACAGTAGGATTTTAAATTCAATTCTGGATTTTACAGGGAGCCAGTGCAGAGAAGCTAAAACAGGAGAAATATGATCTTGTTTCTTAGTTCCTGTTAGTACACGTGCTGCTGCATTCTGAATTAGCTGGAGAGTTTTTAAGGACTTACTAGAGCTACCTGATAATAGAGAGTTACAGTAATCCAGCCTTGAGGTAACAAAAGCGTGGACCACTAATACAAACATTAGATTGGATTTAAATGTGACACACTGGAGCTTTAAGAGTTTAGAGTTTGTTAAACAGAGAAGAAAATGGAGCAATATTCTCCAATATAGTATAGTAGTATATATAGTATATAGTATATGAGTTAATTAAAGGCTACAGGTGAGATGGTGCAGAGGTGTATGTGGTTGATTTCATTAAAGATGTGCTCACATTTCCCGACCCAGCTCAATAACACAATAATGTTAGAACGCCACAAATGAAGTAATCACAACATGTAGATTTTTCCCGTTAATATCAAATACATGAAGTACTAAAGTGAAACACATGGGAGCAAATAAATCAACTATCATGATGTGGAGCAGCTTGTGCCCAGGTAGGCCTGTGTTCTCAAACAGTATGACTCACAGTTCATTCAACAGAGATATCCTTTACATAATTCATGATGACACCATGTCGTCACAGAGACTTAATTCTTTGATTGGGCAGATTGATTTCAGCGTCCACTCTGCTCATCATCAATAACAGTGCATTTTTTAAAATTTAATTATCTTTTGATCAACCAATTAAACCTTTTAAAAGAATGTGTTGCATCAGCTCGTCCTCAGATTGTCAGTAACATTTTAAAATTTTAAACTCAATTAGTTTATGGTCACAAACAGCTGATTACTGACGTATGTCTCTGTAAGTCTGTGATTGCTTGTAAATGAAACACGTCTTAGGTGTGTTTGTGTTGAATGAATCAGATGAATCACTGACTGAACTCTGTGACGCGCTGGCCGTTTGCTCCTCTCATGATCAATCTGCTGATCAGTTTATTGATTCATGATTGATCAGTCAAGCCTCAGAAAGTGTCCATCAGATTCCTCTGTGTGGATCCAGAGGACGACGTCCTCAACTGATGTCTGACAGTCTGAAGACGTCAGATCTTTATGTCACTGTAACATCAGATAACTGTGTGGACTCTCTGCAGGAGCTCTGCACTCCATGTTGGGAGCCATGGATAACAGAGTGTCTGAGGAGGTAACACACAGACACACACACACACACACACACACACACACACACACATACACAGAGTCCTGCTGACTGTCTGCTCTCTGTCCAGGGCATGAAGGTGTCCTGTACACACTTCCAGTGCTCAGCAGGAGCGTTTTCCTACCTGAGAGATCATTTCAGTCACAACTTCAGCGTGGACATGAGCCACCAGATCCTCAACCTCAACATCAACCTGATGCTGGTAGGTCTCTCTCTCTCTCTCTCTCTCTCTCTCTCTCTCTCTCTCTCTCTCTCACACACACACACACACGCACACACACACTCACACACACACACCACACACCACACACACACACACACACACACACCACCACCAACAAAGTCTCCTGGACCTGTGTCTGTCTGTCTGTCTCCCAGGGACAGGCTCAGGAGTGTCTTCTGGAGAAGTCCATGTTGGACAACAGGAAGAGTTTCCTGGTTGCTCGGATCAGCGCTCAGGTCGACCTCTGACATATGAATCCTGTTTATTGAAATGGTCTCGATGAGTCATTAACGTGTTGGTATGTGTGTCTGCGGTGCTGCAGGTGGTGGATTATTATAAGGAGGCGTGCAGGGCTCTGGAGAACTCGGAGACAGCGTCCATGCTGGGAAAGATTCAGAAAGACTGGAAGAAACTGGTTCAGATGAAGATCTACTACTTTGCTTCTATTGCACATGTGAGAGTGTTGACAGGAAGTTTGTGTGTGTGGGAACTCATGAACATGTCTGAACGTGTCTGTGTGTGTCGGCTACTGATCACAGTTCAGTTTCTTCTCTCCACAGCTTCACATGGGAAAACAGGCCGAGGAGCAGCAGAAGTACGGAGAGCGGGTACGACCAAACTTCACTGTCGGAGTTGTGACGTCTGTGGCTTAAATCAGTAAACACAGGGTCAACCTTTCCTTTCAACACATAACACACCGTACAGTGCCCAAGTGCTACGTCGCCTCAGGTCGCCAAACAGTATCACCTGATCACACCTGCTGAGAGGAAATAAGTCTCCGCAGCAGGAGAAGGCGGTCGTCTGTATTCATCATTGAAAAAGGGAAACAGGAAGAGCGTCTTGATGCTAGTTAGCCAGTTAGCATATTAACAACACAATCAGAGCATATTTACCGTGCGCTAGTGAACAATAACACAAACCATCAGGAAACATTTCTGCTAAAGAGAAAAATAATCTGACCTCATGGAACAAGCTGGCGCTGAATCAGCCTGAAAAAAGACGATAAGGGCCGACAGTGCAGAACACACCGGGGGCGAGGAGGGCCACAGATGCTCAGCGACGGTCCAACATTAACCACCAGCTGACTGACGGCTTGGTGTGTCAGGGCTGTAATGTGTGCAACTTCCTGCCTCATTAACAGCTGTTAGTAAACAGGGTCAGAGGCTGCTGCTGACCTCTGACCCTGTTCAACAGTCTGACTCACCACAGTTTTTTGTTCTTGACTCCATTTTTCGGAAAAAGCTGCAACAGATTCAGTTATGTCACAGTGACGTCACACACTCATTAATGTAGTGTCCGTGTTGCAGTGATAGAAGCTGCTACTGATAAACGTCTCTCGGTTTTCTCTTCCTGTCGATGACTGATGCTCGTTGTGTTTCCAACAGCTGGCGTACCTGCAGAGCTCCTTGGACAAACTCACTGAAGCAATCAAGCTGGCCAAGGTAGGACGGAGCAACACCTGACTGACTGCATCATTTTAGGCCCTGTGTCCACTGACTGGATCATTTTAGGACCTGTGTCCACTGACTGCATCATTTTAGACACCTTGTCCACTGACTGCATCATTTTAGGACCTGTGTCCACTGACTGCATCATTTTAGGACCTGTGTCCACAGACTGGATCATTTTAGGACCTGTGTCCACAGACTGGATCATTTTAGGACCTGTGTCCACAGACTGGATCATTTTAGGCCCTGTGTCCACTGACTGGATCATTTTAGGACCTGTGTCCACTGACTGCATCATTTTAGGACCTGTGTCCACTGACTGCATCATTTTAGAACCTGTGTCCACAGACTGGATCATTTTAGAACCTGTGTCCACTGACTGCATCATTTTAGGCCCTGTGTCCACTGACTGCATCGTTTTAGGACCTGTGTCCACTGACTGGATCATTTTAGGCCCTGTGTCCACAGACTGGATCATTTTAGGACCTGTGTCCACGGACTGCATCATTTTAGAACCTGTGTCCACAGACTGGATCATTTTAGAACCTGTGTCCACTGACTGCATCATTTTAGGCCCTGTGTCCACTGACTGCATCGTTTTAGGACCTGTGTCCACTGACTGGATCATTTTAGGCCCTGTGTCCACAGACTGGATCATTTTAGAACTTGTGTCCACTGACTGCATCATTTTAGGCCCTGTGTCCACAGACTGCATCGTTTTAGGACCTGTGTCCACTGACTGCATCATTTTAGGCCCTGTGTCCACAGACTAGATCATTTTAGGACCTGTGTCCGCAGACTAGATCATTTTAGGACCTGTGTCCACTGACTAGATCATTTTAGAACCTGTGTCCACTGACTAGATCATTTTAGAACCTGTGTCCACTGACTGCATCATTTTAGAACCTGTGTCCACAGACAGCATCGTTTTAGGACCTGTGTCCACTGACTGGATCATTTTAGGACCTGTGTCCACTGACTGGATCATTTTAGACACCTTGTCCACTGACTGCATCATTTTAGGACCTGTGTCCACTGACTGGATCATTTTAGGCCCTGTGTCCACTGACTGGATCATTTTAGGGCTGTATGTATGTTTTGTTTCTATGACGACAGTAACGTTAGCTAGGTATCTAAGACAACACAACGCTAACAGAGGGTTGACCACATCGTCACAAAGTGTGCAGAGATAAAAGCACATCGTCAGCTGATCTGCTCCTACAGATGAGCTTCTCTGTCTGTTGCTGTGACAGTGTCTGCCTGATGTACCTCAGTGTCACCGCTCTGATTGGTTCAGAGATTTTAAACGAGAAGCGCTCGGAGCGTCAGCGGAACATTAAATCCAGAGCACTCTGAGAAAATACGCCGTGGCTGTGCCACTTTTTCTTCAGGCAGCAGCATACAGCCACAAACACTCTGTCCTCAGAGGAACAGTTGTAAAAAGACATCTTGTCTGTGTGGACACAGGCCCTCAGTGTCTCTGTAACATGTCCTCTCAGTGTTTCCCTCCAGAACTGAAGTGTCCTCCATCTTGTCTGTGTGGACACAGGCCCTCAGTGTCTCTGTAACATGTCCTCTCAGTGTTTCCCTCCAGAACTGAAGTGTCCTCCATCTTGTCTGTGTGGACACAGGCCCTCAGTGTCTCTGTAACATGTCCTCTCAGTGTTTCCCTCCAGAACTGAAGTGTCCTCCATCTTGTCTGTGTGGACACAGGCCCTCAGTGTCTCTGTAACATGTCCTCTCAGTGTTTCCCTCCAGAACTGAAGTGTCCTCCATCTTGTCTGTGTGGACACAGGCCCTCAGTGTCTCTGTAACATGTCCTCTCAGTGTTTCCCTCCAGAACTGAAGTGTCCTCCATCTTGTCTGTGTGGACACAGGCCCTCAGTGTCTCTGTAACATGTCCTCTCAGTGTTTCCCTCCAGAACTGAAGTGTCCTCCATCTTGTCTGTGTGGACACAGGCCCTCAGTGTCTCTGTAACATGTCCTCTCAGTGTTTCCCTCCTGAACTGAAGTGTCCTCCATCTTGTCTGTGTGGACACAGGCCCTCAGTGTCTCTGTAACATGTCCTCTCAGTGTTTCCCTCCTGAACTGAAGTGTCCTCCATCTTGTCTCGGTCCGACAGGGTCAGCCTGACAGCGTGCAGGAGGCCTTGAGATTCACCATGGACGTGATCGGAGGAAAGTGAGTGACACAGTTTGTCATGTAGAGTCACTGCTGACCAGTCTGAGTGTTAAAGTGTTCACTGTGACCTCTGACCTGTGACCTTTGACCTGCAGGTTTAATTCAGCCAAAAAGGACAATGACTTCATCTATCATGAGACGGTTCCTTCTCTGGAGTCTCTGGCCTCAGTCAAAGGTGTGTGTGTGTGTGTGTGTGTGTGTGTGTGTGTGTGTGTGTGTGTGTGTGTGTGTGTGTGCGCACGCGCGCGTGACTCAGCAGGTTTCACCATTTAAACTGTATCATGGATCATGTTGTTTCTAACTGCAGTCATAGGTCTGTCTGTCTCTTTCTCTCTCTGTCTGTCTCTCTGTGTGTCTCTGTCTGTCTGTCTGTCTGTCTCTGTCTCTCTGTGACTCTGTGTCCCCCTAGGTGCCCCACTGGTGAAGGCTCTCCCAGTTAACCCCACTGACCCCACCGTTACTGGACCCGACCTGTTTGCCAAGCTGGTCCCGATGGCTGCACATGAAGCGTCCTCGTTGTACAGGTGAGACGCCTCCATCAGAGGACGCAGAGTGTTTCCATCCACCATCAGAGCTGATGATTGTTCTGTCTGTGCAGTGAGGAAAAGGCCAAGCTGCTGAGAGACGTCATGGTCAAGATCGAGAGCAAGAACGAAACACTGGAGTGAGTACACCAGAGGGACGGTGTGTTCAGGAGCGCCTCTGGAAAACTTAAGTCTGTGACAGCTCTCGTCTCAATGTTTAAATTATAATGAGCTAGACTGTTACTGATCATCAGGAAATCTGTGAGGGTCTCAGGAGAGTCTGTCTGTCTGTCTGTCTGTCTGTAAGGTGAACTCAGTGTTGCTCACACACTGGACCTGTGACTTTAAAAAGATGATGATGAAGAAGTGATGATGAAATTATAACATTAATAAACTGTCAGACTGAATGACAGACCTCACTCTCTGTAACACACACACACACACACACACACACACACACAGAATTAATAACCTGTATTATCTTGATGTGATCAGATCAGTTTTCTGGACTCTGAACTTGATGCTGAAACTTTAGTGACGTATTGAGAGAAACAGATTTGGTTTTTAAACTGGACCCTGTGTGTGTGTGTGTGTGTGTGTGTGTGTGTGTGTGTGTGTGTGTGTGTGTGTGGTCCTGCAGGCAGTTCATGGACTCTCTGGGTTTGGAGCCAGAGTCGGTGGATAACCTGGACTTGTACAGTCACATTCCTCCGGTCCTGATGGAGAAGTGTGCTGCTCTTAGCGTCCGACCAGACACCGTCAAGAGCCTCATCCAGTCCATGCAGGGTCAGTGTGCACACACGCACGCACACACTAAAACACACACGATACTATGACTGTTAAAGTCAAGAAGTGGTGATGTTTGATGTAACTGTCTTTAATGAGCTCAAATGAACAAACAGCCATCTGAGGATAAAACACGTTAACGATTAATTATAAAAACGTCTCCATGGTAACCATGTTTAAAGTTCTCCGAAAATGCGACTGTAGAAGAGACACTGCGCCGTACACACACACACACACACACACACACACACAGCTTATTGAACTGTTTCATTTGACATAATTTCCAAAACCCACACAGTAAAGACAGAACTTCTTCTCAGTGCTGTGTGTGTGAATCCTGCCTGTGTCTCCACTGCAGGACTCTCTGGTGTCTTTACTGATGTGGAGTCTTCACTGAAGGAGATCAGAGATGTCCTGGAGGCAGATGAGGCCGGCCAGCGGGCCCTTCAGGAGGTTGGTGGCCCCGCTGCAGGCGAGGTGCACCTGGCGACTCAGGCCCAGGCTCTGGCTGAGGTCCGCAGGGACCTGGAGAAATACATGGAGGCCCATGAGAAGGCCAGCTTCACCAACACGGAGCTCCACCGGGCCATGAACCTGCACATCAGCAACCTGCGTCTGCTGGGGGGGCCACTGGACAGTCTGAAGGAGGCCCTGCCCTGCCCCCAGCTCAGCGAAGGTAAGGCCGTGTGTGAACCTGTATGTGTCGGTCAGATGGCGTTCACACTGGGGGGTCATGTTAGACAGACGAGTCTGACGGGTTTTATTGATAATGAAGTGCAGCAACAAGTCTGTCTCATGTTACCATCCCTGTGTGTGTGTGTGTGTGTGTGTGTGTGCATGCTCAGAGGAGGTAGCAGGGCTGCAGTGTATGAAGCGGATCCTGGGGAAGGTTCAGGAAATGAGGGAACAGAGAGCCTCTTTGGAGAAACAGCTCCGTGACCTCATCCAGCAGGACGACATCACCTCCACCCTCGTCACCACAGAGCGGGCGGACATGAAGGTATGATGGTCCACACTGAACATGAAGGTATGATGGTCCACGCTGAACATGAAGGTACGATGGTCCACACTGAGCTTTCATACTGCAGCAGCTTCAGGAAAAAGTCTTCTCCAGACACTGGGTGTTTCCTGTCAGCTTTGTAGATGTGGTCATACGTGATTGGTGTGAGTGTGATCCCTCTGACTGTCTGTATCCTTGCAGCGTATATTTGAGGAGCAGCTGAAGAAGTATGAGCAGGTGAAGGTGTACATCGACCAGAACCTGGCAGCTCAAGAGAACATCCTGAAGGCCCTGACGGAGGCCAACGTCCAGTACGCCTCGGTGCGTAAGGGCCTGAGCCAGACGGAGCAGCAGTGGAACAGCACGGTCCAGGGCCTGGTGGGCTCGTACGAAGCCTATGAGGACCTGATGAAGAAGTCTCAGGAGGGGAAGGAGTTCTACGACGACTTGGAGGCCAAAGCATCGCGTCTGCTGGAGAGAGCCAAGACTCTGTGTCAGAGCAGGGCCGAGGAGAGGAGGCCGATCCTGGAGAAGTAAGACTCAGACCAGCAGCTGCCCTCACATCTGTACTGCTGAATTATAATGACTTTTCTGTAATATTTCCCCATGACTTTATATAAACAGTTTATATCCATACAGCCACACATGAGTAAATTACACACACACGCATGCGTGCGCACACACACACACACACACACACACAGCAGGTGCCTGCTGCAGCTGTTTTCTCTCCTCACTCATCAGACATTCACACATACGTCACAGAACATCAAGGACAGGACATCAAGGTTTATTTCTGTTACACAACCCACTTACGTCACTTCTGCTGTAGAGTTGTAAATTAATCGTCAATAATCCATGTTTTATAATGAGGGAATGAGGGAGGCCTAAGTGTGATAAATTAGTGGCACGGGCGCTATTAACAGCCGCAGCCGTGCATGATGGTCATGCATAATCTGTAAAAGAACCAGGCCGCTGTGAGACAGTCTGTAAAACTGCACTTCTCCTTCTCTGCCGTATTTTTATTCAACAGGTCTCATGAGCGGTGGAGCGGGCACAGATGTCAATATGCAAACTGATTAAAGGGTGGTACTGCATCAATTTGTGTCTCACTGTGTGAGAGTAAAGACTAAGACATTGGTGCACGTGAGGCTTTATGAATCCATAAGCTCCATAAATTTGACATCCGGGCCTAAAGAGACCTTCAGATAACTTTATCAAGCAGCCGGCGGGTCAGGCAGCAGAGTCTCCGTAACCATGGCAACGATGATGCTGAGTGACAGACCTGTCATTATGTGACATTCTCCACCATGTCTGGTGAAACTCTTGTTTTTTTTTTTTTTAAGATATTTTTTTGGGCTTTTTAGCCTTTAATGTATAGGACAGACAAGTGTGAAGGGGGGAGAGAGAGAGGGAGTGACATGAAGCAAAGGGCCACGGGCTGGAGTCGAACCCGGGCCGCTGCAGCAACAGCCTTGTACATGGGGCGCATGCTCTACCACTAAGCCATCGACGCCCCGGTGAAACTCTTGGTTAAATATATCTCATGTCATTCCCAGCGTGTGAAAACACAGTTTCTGCAGCTGAGTACTGTGTGCACAGAAACACGGGACAAACTGTGTCCTGTGTTGACTCAATATGGGAAGACCCCGTTTTATACAGGACAGGTGTCTACATGTCTCAGAGTGGCGCTGGTGTCAGTCACATGACTCATCCTCAGTTTTATTATCGAGTGAGATTTACAGTTGTGACTTTCAAAAAGGAAATAAATGTTTCTCATTTCTCTAATTTCAGAGACTTTTCTTATTCTCTGTTATATTACTGTTGTCCTTAAATAAAGCTGAAGTAATGTAATGAAAACATGCAGTATCTCTTATCCAGTCACTTCATTAATCACCAGAATAATCGATAGAATACTCGTTTAATAAAAGAATCAATAGCTGCAGCCCTGAACTCGTATTTAACCCCTGGTGTTCCTGTTGTTTGTGTCGTCCTCAGAGAGAGTCAGAAGAAGCCTCCAGCTCGGCCCACAGCTGCCAAGCCTACCTTAAAGCCAAAGTCTTCTGACGTGGACTCGGCCTGTTCCAGCCTTGAGGACCCAGAGTTGGCCCAGCTCAGTGCGGCCATCTTGGCGTTGGGGGGCGACCTCCCCGAGGAGCTCCGCAGCCTCCCTCCTGACATTCCCTCCTTCCCCACAGCCGCAGCTCGCCTGCCCGGTCCTGAAGCCTTCATCCCCCCTCCTGGCAGCAGCTCTCTGCCGTGGCCCGCTGCTCCTGCCGCTGCCCTCCCCCGCTTCCCCGCCAACCTCCCCCCTCCAGAGCTGCTTGCACGCATCGCTCAGTTTCCTACAGCCGGGCCTCTGCCCCGCCCACCCCTCCCTCAGATCAACCCACAGATACCTCCACAGTTACCCCCCCAGGCAGCTGTGTCAGGTTATCGGCCCCCCCCTCCTCAAGCCCCCCAGCCTGGCCCCATGGCCCCCGCCCCAGTCCGACCCTCCACCACCACTGTGGACAGCATCCAGGCCCCCATCCCCAGCTATGCCCCCACACCACACCACCCTGTCCCTCCTGCAGCCTCAACGGGCTACATTGTCCCCCCCCAGATGGGGTCCTACCCCCAGTTCATGCCCATTCAAGGCCCAGCACAGACTCCCGCCTCCCATCCTCAGCAGCCAAAGCAGCCGCAGCCGTACCCTCAGCCCGTCGGGCAGATGCTGCCTCAGGGCTACCAGCCTGGACCGAGGGCTGTTCCTGCCCCCCCCCCTCACCTCCAGGCTCAGCAGGCCTTCCCCCATGGATACATGCCCCCCCAGTACCAGCAGCCATTCCCAGGTCAGCTGCAGCCTCATCAACAGAATGGCTATCAGCCTCAGATTCCCCAAAATTACCAGCCTCCGCGGGGCTACGCCCCACAGCAGCACCCCCACATGATGCCACGCCCCCCCCAAACTGTACACCCTCACATACCCCCCACCTCTCAGCCAGCACCGCCTGTATCTCAGCCCTACCTGCCCCACTCCCACCAGCAGATGCCCCCTGGACTCCCCCACCAACACATGCTGCCACAGCAGCCCCCCAGTGCCCCGCAGATCCCCCCCCACCCACGGATGCAGATCCCTGCTGGTTCCCGCCCCCAGATGCCCCCCAGCAGTCAGCCAGTGCCTCCAGTGTCTCAGAACTACATGCCCCCCCCCAGCAGTCAGCCCATTGGCCCCCCCCTGCACCCACAGCTGCCTCCAGCCTCTCAGCCTCACATGGTCCACCTGCCCCCACAGCACCACCCCCACCCTGGACAGCCCCCGCTCCCAAACATGCCCCAGCAGCCAATGAGGATGCCCAGCCAGACGCAGGCTCCGCCCCCTCACTCTGGGGGAGTGTGTTACCCTGGGGGGGCTCCACTGATGCCTCAGCAGCCTCTGGCTCCGCAGCCTGCAGCTCCTCAACAACCTGCGGCTCCTCTCCCGATGAGCCACGCCCCCCAGCCCTCTGCTCTGTACCCCCCTGCTCCTGGAGCTAACGGACCTCCCACTGCCCCCCAGCAGCCTGCCGCCATGGGCACCCATGGTCCACACATGATCCAGCCCTCTCCTTCAGCTGCCCCACCGCCAAACACTGTCCCTCCTTCCCCTTCACCGTCCCCCTCCCCATCTCCCTCCCCAGGCCCCTCCTCTCTGAGTCTGAACCCCCAGCAGAGACCCACAGCTGCCCCCACCCCTGGAGGTACGGCTCCACCCACTCTTCCATCTCCATCTGCCGTCTCTCCCTCCACGTCGCTGTTTCAGCGCCAGAATTCGAGCACAGATGACCTCCTCTCGTCGAGCCCTGAGAGCCAACCAGGAGGCACCAAGGCCCCCACCAACGTCCTCCAGCCCACCAAAGCCGATCCCCAGGATGGCGAGCGGCGGAAGAAGAGCTCCCAGGGCGTTCTCCTGATCCAGGGTGACCCGTACCAGGCACCAGAGCGTGTGGCCCGTCTTCATGGTGACCTGGAACGTTACAGAGCGCAGGTGGATTCCCTAGAGCAGCCGTCAGAGAGTGAGGGCGGCCTGTCGGTGCTGGACGCTCGCTGGAAGGAGCTCCAGGATCAGCAGGAGAAGGATGCACGCCAACTGTCCATCGCCATTGCCCGCTGCTACACCATGAAGAACCGTCACCAGGACGTCATGCCCTATGACCTGAACCGCGTGGTACTGCAGTCCGGCAAAGACGACTACATCAACGCCAGTTATGTGGAGGACCTGTCGCCGTACTGCCCACGTCTCATCGCCACGCAGGCTCCGCTCACCGGCACGGCAGCCGACTTCTGGCTGATGGTGTACGAGCAGAAGGTGTCGCTGGTGGTCATGCTGGTTTCAGAACAGGAACTGGAAAAGGTACTGGTCTTAGCTGAGTCTGTACTGGTGACGACATGATTAAAAAGTTTATTTAAAACATGTTTATTTAACCCTTTCGTATCACCAATACTGATGATGTAACAAGTGGCGTCCCGTTTCCCAGGTTAAAGTTTTAGACTCCTACTGTTGAGGCTCCATTCTGAGGGGCTGCTGCTCAGTGGAGGGGTCTATATAATGAGGCGTAGGGACACAGAGGAGAACTAGGATCAAACTTGTCGTTATAAAAGAGGATGAGTTGTGTGTTTCTCTGCAGATACGCACTCGGCACTTCCTGTTATATCTGTGTTTTTAATGTTGTCTCTTCCGTGTCTCTCAGGGAAAGGTTGTTCGCTACTTCCCAACGGAGCGCGGCCAGCAGCTCTCTCAGGGACCAATCACACTCAGCCTCACCACGCAAAAGATGACGCCGACTCATGTGGAGCGCATGATCAGCCTGCAGTACCGTGACCAGAGCCTGAAGCGCACCGTCGTCCATCTGCAGTTCACCTCGTGGCCCGAGCTGTGAGTCACTTCCTGTTACGTTGTTGTCAGTGTGGCGTGTCAAATGATGAAGAAACAGAAAGATGTGTTTTTATTCTGACCTCATCGTCTTTTCCTGTCGTCATCAGAGGTCTTCCTGACAGCAAGAGCAGCCTGCTGAGATTTATCCAGGAAGTTCATGGACACTACCTCCACCAGAGGCCCCTACACACACCTGTGGTGGTGCACTGCAGGTGAGTGGACACTACCTCCACCAGAGGCCCCTACACACACCTGTGGTGGTGCACTGCAGGTGGGTGTGTCCTCACAGGTGAAGCTGGTCACACTCTGGCATCAGTTAAATGTTTGATACAACAGTGACAGATACCTGTGAGGGTCCCTGAGGGGTCTGAGCTCATGGCCCCTGAGCCAAATCTGCCATTCTGCTGAATATCTGATGAATATTTTAAAGACTTTTTCATAAATATTGCCAGAGTGTCCTGTGACCATATTTGGAGGCAGCTGTTCATATAAACTCTGTGGTAAAATGAATCTGAAATCCAGCTGTTTAATGCTGTAAGCCCCTCCCCTTGAGCCAGAATAAAACCCAACTGTGAACTCTGTGTGTCTCAGCTCGGGCGTGGGACGTACTGGCGCCTTCTGTCTGCTGTAAGCGGCGCTGCAGGAACTGGAGGCAGGAAACGGGATCCCAGACCTCCCAGTGCTGGTGAAGAAGATGAGACAGCAGAGGAAGAACATGCTGCAGGAGAAGGTCAGACACTCGCATACATTACCACTCACATTTATTTCACAGTGACATCAGAAGACCTCCTGGTGGCTGATGGGAGATCAGAGGGTTTTCTGACTGATGATGGAGGAAGTGATGTCATGTTGATCAGGTTACCGAGTGACTGTCTGTCTGAGCTCAACAGTGTGACCCAGGAGTCACACAGGTGAACTCAGCTGTCACTCATGACTCAGTCAGAGCTGTGTCTGCAGCTCCACCTGACTCAGAGTGCTTCTGTTACAGATAAAACTTTATTGATATCTCTGTGTCTGCAGCTGCACCTGACTCAGAGTGCTTCTGTTAAAGATAAAACTTTATTGATATCTCTGTGTCTGCAGCTGCACCTGAAGTTCTGCTATGAGGCCGTGTTGAAGCACGCTGAGCACGTCCTTCAGAGACATGGCATCTCCACTGCCACTGCCGCCTGCAGCAGGAACACCAACTCTGCAGCCACAAAGGTCTGTCTCTGTCCCTCTGTTAACCCTTTCAGCACATGTGACCAACAGTATCCCACAATCCCCTGCACAGAGCCGGAGACATCATGTGACAGATGGTTTCTACAACATGAACCTGCTTCACCAGGCTGTGTTCTCTTTATTAACCATCAGCGGTTAACTTCCTGTTTCCTCATAAAATCTGACCATAGAGGAAATAAACTGAAAGCAGACAAACGTCACAGCTGATCATTCTGTTCCTTTAGCAGTCCAACTTATAATTATATTTACTTATTCACATATTTACATATTCACAAATCTACATATTTACAGTAACCGGACATGTAGCTGTTAAAAATCATATTATAACTCTTAAGTTCTTATTTGACGTCTGAACGTGTTGACTCGTTCTCACTTTAGTTTTAATGTTTTGTTGTTTTGTTGTTTTTCTCTCCTGATTGTTTCAAAGGAACTCTGGGAGTTGTGGTCAGATGAGGTACAGGTTCTCTCTGTCAGTAGAGTCCAGTTAGAGTTTAGTTGGAGTTTATTTAAACTTTAAACTTTATTAAACTTTAAATTAACTTTATTTAAACTTCATTTCAACTTTATTTAAACTTCATTAAACGTTAAATAAAGTTTAAATAAATAATTTAATTTAAAGTTTGTTTAAAGTTCAGTAATTTCATTTTCTGTCTCTTTCTGTCCAAACGTCCGTCCCTCGTCTCCGCAGCCTTACTCGAGACAGGAGTCCCAGCAGGACATTGTCCTTGGCGGCGATATGCCCATCAGCTCGATCCAAGCCACCATCGCCAAGCTGAGCATCCGGCCGCCCAGCGCCACAGACCCCACCATGGAGGAGCAGGCGGGCACCGTCTTTCCCAACCTGGACTCTCTGGGTGACGTCCAGCAGCTGCAGGACCCCTCTCCCCCCGCAGACCCCGCCTCGTCTTTCAGCCCACCCCTCAGCTCCCCTGCCCACTCTCCACCCCCACCACCACCCAACGGTGTGGACACTACCTCCCCCTCAACGCCACCGGCCTCCAACCACCAGCCGGTCCTGGAGGCTGCGCCCAGCGTCAGCCCGCCTCCTGCCTCTTCTGCTCCGGCGCCTTCGTCCCTGGAGCTGCTGGCCTCTCTGGCGCCTGAGGCCTTCTCCATGGAGGGAGGTGGCAAAGGGAAGCAGCGTGTGACCAAGCAGAGCTTCCTGCAGCCGGCAGAGGGTCAGGGTCTCCATGGGACTCGAGCGGAGGAAGGGGACGACCCACTCAGCAGCCTAGACCCACTCTGGAGCCTCAGCAAGCGCTGAGACAAGTCGCCGACTTCACCGCCAGGTGCCAGCGAAGGCCTGTTGCTGTAATGTGAGTCACATGTTAGCGGTGATGATGTCACGATATGCCTGGTGACGGACGGTAGGCTGACGTTTGATCTTCTTCTGGGACCAGAACACTATGCACTGTCGCTCTGCTGCTTCTCTGTCTGCACTCCCACCTGGATTCCCAGCATGCACTGCTCTCCCACAGGGTGTCTGATGGACAGCTGTAACTCAATCAGTTGTCATGGTAACATGGAGCAGCACGTCCTCATTTCTGTTTCTGCATCTCTGTAAATAACTGAAATAATCCACGTGTCACTAATCAGCCGCCATTATTGTACAAATCTGAATAAATCCACAGATGGACGACAATCAACGTCTCTTTATTTAAACATATTACTGAACAAACAATATTTGTTTAAATGTTAAATAAATTATTACAAACAAATCTGTGTTAGAAATATTAATAATTCAGATCCAAAACTGCTCACATGGTACAGTCCAAACCACCTGATCTCTACCTGTGTAGGTGGTACAATCCCAAACCACCTGATCTCTACCTGTGTAGGTGGTACAATCCCAAACCACCTGATCTCTACCTGTGAAGATGGTACAATCCCAAACCACCTGATCTCTACCTGTCCGCTGCTTGCTGACCATGATGACATCAGATGATAAGTTCAGACAGACATGCAAAAAAGGTACGTACTTTTAATTTGTCAACTCTTGGCAGGTTTCAGGTCAGCTGTTATAAACTCTGTCAACAGGTCTCACGTCAGCTGTTATTAACTCTGTCGACAGGTCTCAGGTCAGCTGTTATTAACTCTGTCGACAGGTCTCAGGTCAGCTGTTATTAACTCTGTCAACAGGTCTCAGGTCAGCTGTTATTAACTCTGTCGACAGGTCTCAGGTCAGCTGTTATTAACTCTGTCAACAGGTCTCAGGTCAGCTGTTATTAACTCTGTCGACAGGTCTCAGGTCAGCTGTTATTAACTCTGTCAACAGGTCTCAGGTCAGCTGTTATTAACTCTGTCGACAGGTCTCAGGTCAGCTGTTATTAACTCTGTCAACAGGTCTCAGGTCAGCTGTTATTAAATCTGTCGACAGGTCTCAGGTCAGCTGTTATTAACTCTGTCAACAGGTCTCAGGTCAGCTGTTATTAAATCTGTCGACAGGTCTCAGGTCAGCTGTTATTAAATCTGTCGACAGGTCTCAGGTCAGCTATTATTAACTCTGTCTACAGGTTTAAGGTCAGCTGTTATTAGCTCTGTCGAAAGGTCTCTGGTCAGCTGTTATTAACTCCGTCAACAGGTCTCATGTCAGCTGTTAGTAACACTGAACAGGTCTCAGGTCAGCTGGTACTGACTCTGTCAACAGGTCTCAGGTCAGCTGTTATTAACTCTGAACAAATCTCAGGTCAGCTGTTATTAACTCTGTCAACAGATCTCATGTCAGCTGTTATTAACTCTGAACAGGTCTCAGGTCAGCTGTTACTAACTCTGTCAGGTCTCAGATCAGCTGTTATTCACTCTGTCGAGAGGTATCAGGTCAGCTGTTATTCACTCTGTCAGGTCTCAGGTCAGCTGTTATTAACTTTGAACAGGTCTCAGGTCA